CAGTGTCCCTGAGCAATCTAGACAACGTGTGTGTTTAAGGGTGTGTTGTCGGTCCACCCCTGTGCCCCGAGTCCCGCTGAGCTCGCAAGCCCTGTACGATTTTTATCCTCACGTGCAGTGAGCCTTACACCGACCGATTGGTTGATCAGGAGGGGTTTTTTATGGACAGCCCCCGAAGTCCTCAGGAATTATTTAGCGTCGCAAACAGGACGACGATATCAGCCAATGGAAGGTCCCCGCTGGTACTTATTTATAGACGTCCTGCAGCGGGCCTTCATCTGCCCTGGCCCACAGCCAGGGCCTATTTGGCTATTTGCCAATCCGGCCTGTGGGACCAGGCCGTGGCCTGACCCCACAGGCCGTGGCCTGACCCCACAGGTCGTGCGGTTATTCAGTCCGGTCCAGTCCAGTCAGTCCGCTGGGGGTATACCCCAGCTGCATTTTTTTTTGTGGCATTCTTCATTTTGCACAGATTGGAGTACGTGCGTGTTGAGTCCGCGTTGGAGCTGCGCTGTCCCTTCCAGCTCCATCTCCATCTCCCCCATCCTCATCCCTTCGTCTTGATCCTGACGGACCGCCATCCCGGCGGGTCCGTCACACGTCCGGTCTCGTCCTTCCCGTAGGGCTGGCCTTCCCTTCAGAACCCCTCTACAGCGCAGCGAGCAGACAAAGGACAAAGCAGCAAAGCATGCGTGCTCTACTCCCGATGGGTTGGCATGGTGACCGTGACCCAGTGCTTCGTCTAGGGCCCTTCAGATAGCACCACCCTCTCCTTCCAGATGCTCCACGTGAATACTGACGACTCTCAAGGTTGAGCGCACACGACTCCTCACATGAGAGGACTCCCAAGACAGAACACACATCCTCACGGTAAGAAGTGTCGAAGAGGGTAGATAAGGTTAGGTGCAACATGCCTCAAAATAGCTGCCCCCAACCACATATATTCTCACCAGATGACCCGATGTTGATTGTGATGATCCATCGCTGCTTCGGCACAACCAGCATTAATACCGCCGTTCCACCTCCGCATCAATCACATCAGACAGTTCTCATCACACTGCGAACACCCAATATTCACCACATAGTAGCCTTCCTGGCGATACCCCTCACTGCCTGGGTTGCCTTACTTGTCTCCACCCTCCTCACTACACACCTCCCACGGCTGCTCGCCCAACATACCGCGTGCATGTACCTCATAGGCAGAAGACAAGCGCCAGATGAGCGCACCGTACCACAACTTCGATACCAAATTGCAAGGAAAATGAGCAATAGCGAACTTCAGAAATCAAACAGCATCATACACATGAGACCAGATAGTCGTGACCTCAAACCAATAGCAGAATTGCATCACGAGTTTCACCAAATAAGAGCACAGCAAAAGCTCATAATTGACAATGCTGGAATAGTCTCATCATCATCAACGAAGAACCAATGTCGATATCCTATCTGGCGCTTTGGCGCCCAGACTACAGATGGCAGATCCTATCTAGCCTATCTACAATGCCGCTGATGACGTCAACAGCTCCCCGAAGTACGAGCAGATCTCGGCCAATGCCGTTCGCTTCAAGCACCAGGTATGTCTCTCGTATCACTGACAACCTCGATCCCCAACTCACAGATGCCACATGCACCCAAGAACCACCATGCACCCCATCCAGCATACAGCAGCGCAGCTCGGCTATGGCTGCCTGCTCCTTCCAGCTCGCCCGTGAGCGCGTGAGCGGTGGCCAGCGTTAGCGCAGCAGCGCTTGCGCAGTATGCAGCCAGTGCCCGAATGCCCAATGTGTGGGCAGGCCCTTCCCTATATCGAAGTGGCCTGCTGCTGCTGCGTTCCGTAATGCGGTACTGGGCCCCGGCCTAGAAGCTTCCGGTAGGCCCGAGTGGCTGAGCCCCAGTCCCTACAAAACAGGCCCACAGCCTGAGTTAGTTGCCCGTACCCAACTGCTCACAGCCTGTGTTCGGTCCATGTGCGCGTCTGGCCCAGGGTGTACTTCAGATACATTTGCAAAATGGCTGCCTGGGCCTGGGCGCCAACTGATGCCGCGCAACTGTCTGAATTTCCCCAGTTGCGTGGTGGTAAAAAAAAAGGGGCCCCTTGGCCTGAGTCGAGCCTGCCTTTAGGGCGGCCGACAACACTGCGAACAAGGCCGAAGGGGCTCATCGGGGCCTTAGGCCTCGCAGACGTATGATTTGGTAAATTTATCCCTTTTTTTTTTTCTTTTTTTTGAGGTCTGCGCCGTGGTCCGCTGCAGTGCAATACAGAGGTTACACTGGAGGGGTTGAGTAAGCAAGCTTACCCGTATGATCCCTCCATGGCCCAGAAAGATTAATTTAAACCACCAGTACCTGCTGGTTGTTAAGGCCCGTGGCTCAGCCTACCGGTATCCAGAACCTTGCCGAGCCTCGAGCTACCGGTAGGTACACATTAAAAAAAAAAATAATAATAAACAAATCGACTTCTTCTGGCCGAAAAAAAAAAAAAAATTGAAAAATAACTAAGCCCGTTTTGCACTTTCCATCTTTGGGTCGCACAGAGAGAGAGAGAGAGAGAGAGAGTCAGCGAAATGTGCACTTTCCATCTTTGGGTCGCAGAGAGAGAGAGAGAGAGAGAGAGAGAGAGAGAGAGAGTCAGCGAAATGGGCTGCGCCAAACTCGCCTGCTCTCTCTCTCTCTCTCTCTCTCTCTCTCTCTCTCTCTCTCTCTCTCTCTCTCTCTCTGTTACATGCTGCACGGGCCCCCTTTCAGGCCCGTGACGTTTTCAGGCCAAAAGCCTGAAAACGAGGGTCTACAGGCCCTGTGTCGTTTCAGCCTGAAAGCCTGAAAACAACGGCCTACAGGCCCTGTGTCGTTTCAGGGTAAATCAGGGCCTTTCCGGCCCTGAGCATTTTCAGCCTGAAACTGAGGGCCATTTTCAGGCCCTCATCAGTCCGAACCGCCCTGAAACTCAGGCAACAAACCAGGGTTTTATCACAGGCCATTTCGGGCCTGTTTTCAAGACAACCCCTGGTTGAGCTTCAACGCCAGGGTCTGGCATGTTTC